ATTCCTGCTTGGAGCCGGTTCAAGCCTTCTACATGTCTCTTAAGCTGCAGTAACTGTATTCTGCCTACCCCCTTTCACATGGTGCAGCTGTTAACGTTTTCAACCCAGTTGCGAGACAGAGGACGCCCGGTGGGCCCCTTTCCCTTAGGAGAATTCCCCTTCCTCTCTCACCGCTAAATCGTGGCGAGCTGTTACCCCTGCACAGAACTTAAAAGCCGATCGCGGCCGGCCAGCTTTTAACCGGGGCTCGGAGCTGGCTTGCACCCTTTGGTTTACAGGGAAGCAGGCTGAACGGTCTCCTTGGTGCAGACGTAACTCCACACTAAAGGCTGAGCCGCGAAGCAAAAAGCCGCATGACCCAGCTAAGTGCTCCCGGGCTGTGAATTCTATTTAATAGAACGGCGGTCGCCTCGAGTCGAGATGTCGCTGAACTCGTGGGGCCAGTGTGTTGCAGGCCACCTCTTTAAAAACAGGAAGGCACAAACAGTTCCCGTTCAGAGATGCCTTGCAAAACTTCAGTTAGGAAAACTCTCAGATTTGGGGGGGGGGGGGGGGAAAGGGGGGGGAAACGAACAAGGCCCCCCGGGAACAGCAGCAGCAAAGGCAGGAAGTTAGACACAAAGCCGCAAACCCAGTCTGGGACGGCCAAAGAGACTTGGGGAAGGGCCACACGCGTGACAGTTTCCATATGATGGTGTGTGTGTGTGTAGGGGGGGGTCAACCATACATTCTTGGCTCTACAGCACACTGGGCGAAGGAACTGCTGCTAGGTTCTTCTGGGCTGTCCTCACTTCTACGAGCCCATGAGTTCCTGTACAAATCAAAAGGTGCCTGCTACCAGGTGACCCCGGAACTTATCAAGGTTGTTCTAAAGTTTGCGGGTCTCTCGAGGACTCTGACCCAGTCACACGACTCGCTCACGTAGGCGTTCAAGCACAAGCCAATACTTGGTGCCGTCCTAAAAACAGAGTTGCACCTCCCTGAGTCCACTGCTGTCAACAGACTTTGAAGGGCGTGACCTGGGTTTAGGACGGCGCCGTTTGTGTGTACAGACTAAAGCACAGACACAAAGCAGAACTGAAACGGAGGCGACTAGGGATCTACCCGGGCAGGGATTCCTCCTCACTTTTCTAATAGTGCAGGCTCTGAAGAGATACTAGCCAGCAATTTAGCTGCGGGTACGAAAAGACGGTCTTTGTTCAGCTATGGCTCGATGAAACTGGGAACGGAAGGTCTGATCCCAGACCAAACGCCCACATGGCGGTACCAGGATCCCTCCACCATACCCTCGATGGTGCCCAAATATGATTAACCCTCCCTGGCCGTGGGGAGTGTGTCTGTGTGGGGGGGGGGGGAGATACCTACACAAAAGGCTACCATGCGAGGGCAATGGTATTCTCAGATGAGCACCCTCATTATGTCAGAAAAGCAAGAAAAGAAACGCCCTTATTTGGGGAGCCGCTCCCCCTTTCACAGTTAATGAAGTTATCGAGAGCGGCTTCTTGGTAAGTCTTTGGGGCTGTTGACCAATGGAGGGGGGGAGAGGGGCAGCTGATCCGTGTTTGAAAAGCTTCAAGATGCAGCCAAGTGATGGTGGGGGGGGGGGGGGAACAACCCCCCCCATATTGTCATGAATTCATCCTTGTAAAAATCACCTAGCAAAGAATCAGCAACTGTCCAAGCCATCGTGTCCACCGATGCAGAAGGGCCCTGCAATCCCTTTGCCTATCTAGGAGGAGGACCCGGCCACTGTCTCGCGCTAAAACTAAGCAGCAAGGCGCCCGACGCATTTACTTGAGTTAAAAAATGTGCAGCATATTGACAAGAAATCTCCCTTTCAGAACGGGGCTCCCTTTCCGCCCCCCCCCCCAATAACGTCATTGCTTTTGCATCGACACTTCCAAGGAGTCTCAAGACGCTCCACCTGGCAACGACCCAGTCCTCAAGGCCTCTTCTCTGGAGAGCTGAGAAACTTTACATTCAGATCCCGGGACCGTGTCACCCGTCGCCACGTTAAACTGAACTTTTAAAACACATATAATAGGTTGTTCGGTAGGGCTGTCCTAAAACCATAACCTCTCCAGCCAGGCCGATAGCCTCCTGACGCAGAAAACGAGACTGGAAGATGAGAAATGAAAAAGGGGATTTTTGGTCCTCTCGTATGGCGTTTATCTCCCTCCTGAAAAGGGACGAACGGCCAGCCTGCGTCTCAGGCCGCTGAACGGGGCCAAGGAAGCAGGTACGGGTGAGATGCGGCTTCCTCAGCAGTTTCCCTCGGTCAAAAAGAATAAGAAACCAGATCACTGATACCATACAGGACCTTACAGATTCCAGGATGCCCAATGGGCAACTTTCCGGCCGAGTCCACCAGGTGGGGAGGCATGCCATGTCTGCTCAGCGGTGAGCCACGGTCCCGGAAGCGACCGTCCACGCGGTGCTACGGCAGAGGTAGAAAGACCGTTGCAAAGTCTTTGGCGGTGACAAAGCCCAGCAACGGGACGAGAGCCGGGGAGCAGCGAGCGGCGATGCGGAACGCCGGGGAGGGCAAAGACACGCCAAAAATGAAAATGAGGTCTTCCTCCACTAACATTCCTTCCGAGTGACACCTGAGCGGGAAGATTTAAGAGAAATCGGACGATTCCCGACCCCTCGAGCGCTCACCTCTCCCTCCTGCAGTGCATTATTTGGGGCAACGGCACAGGCCGTTTTGCACACTGTTACAGAGAAAGGATGCCAGTTCGTTGACATTTTTTTCTTTCTGCGTTTCCCATGCTGTGAAGTGGCAAAGACTGGTAATGGTCCCCCAACCCGCTTTTCCTCTGGGAACTGTAGACTATCAGGCCGCAGGGGGCTTTACATTCAAGCCATCAAAGGGAGACCTCTTTATGCTTTCAGACATTCAAACAGAGGGATGGGATCCCAAGGCCACTGCTTCCCGACCCCTTGCCAGGGACTCTCAATTCCATGAGCCGTCTTACCTCGAGGGGGACTTTGCGAAGGAGACCCTGTGAACCGGAAAGGGATTTCTGCTGTGAAGTTAGGGGCAGCCAGGTTCTTCTCTGTTTGGACTGTAAATTCCCCTTTTCCACCCCCGCCCTCCCGAAATCAGGTTTGCTATGCTTGACTCGACTCGCTTTTCATTTCCAAAAATGCACACACAACCCCCCCATCACTCCCCCCCCCAGCATGGGGTCACCCTCCCTCCAAGCAGACACCCTGTTTATACACAGCTCCCACTCCAAGTAGAAGCAATTCCCCAATCGCCCACACAAGACAGACTGGTTCCATTAAACAGTGATTTAGAAGTGGACGGGATCCTTTAAAACAAGAGAGAGAGAGAGAGAGAAGCGTGATGGGCATTTTCACAGTCTCGCCGGAATGAGGAGGACTTCTTCGCCCGTTCACAGGTCCTTCTCTGCCACCGTACAGACCACGTTGACAGTGGAAGCGGGCGAAGGCCGGCGAGGAGTTGCGGGCGAGCAGAGCCAAACGCCAGGTGAGAGGTCGCGGGCGGGGCGGGAGGGGAGGGGGCCCTAGATTTTGTACAGAGCACTGGGCACGTAATCGAACCTGAGCACCGGGCTGACCCCCCGGACGGGATCCTGAAGGTACTGGAGTTTGAGGAGCTCGGCCAGGTACTGCACCACTCTGCTGTCCTCGTGCGGCAGCCCCAGGTGGGCTTTCAGGAAGTTCAGCCGCCGGGCCGCCACGGAGTCCTCCGTCTCCCCCTCGCGGATGGGGAGGTGCAGGTGGTGGCAGAAGGTGTACAGGAAGGCCTTGGAGCAGAGCTGGGTGAGGAGGGTCTGGACGTGCATGTAGTAGGTGCTCCCCCGCTTGATCTGCGTGCGGTGGTCGGCCAGCCGGGAGATCAGGGCCCCCCGGTACTGGGGGCAGCGCAGGGTCTTGCTGTCGGCGTCCAGGATGCTGATGTAGCGGCTGTAGCGGCC